GTTGGTCCTGGTCCCAGTCCCAGTCCTGGAGCTCGGCCCCGGGCAGCGGCTGCCTCTGGAGCTTCCGGCTGACGGACAAAGGGGGAATTGAGTGGCTCATCGGGGGGATGGCAGGGATCCTTCTGCTAGTGCAGAATTCCCTTGCTTTGCCCATGCTTGGATCTGCGTCAAAGTTCTGGGTGGCGGTCCTGGGGCAATGAGAAGCATTGGCGTGGTGGAGCTTGTAGTGGTGGTTGAGAGGAAATCCTCCTCACAGTTCCAAGACAGAAAAGAGTGTCACTCACAGACTGCAGCTTAGGCCAGGAAAGGAGTAAAACCTCACCCTTGATCATAGTACCTTGGAAGAACTGAAAATTTCAGGTGCCCAGAAGTATCTCTGAAAACAGCTGTACAAAACCCCCAAAGTTTGGGACAGTACATTCTCCACACTGGAAACTCTTAACAAAGAGTTTATAACTCAAGTAATTGGCTGGGATCATGAGTAAGCAGCACAAAAAGAGTCAGACCATAGAATCTTTCTTTTGTGACAAGATCAAAACATACAACCAGAAGACAACAAAGTCAAAGCTCCTACATCCAAAGCCTACAAGAAAAATATGAATCAATCCTAGGCCATGGAAGAGCTAAAAAAGGATTTTGAGAAGCAAGTAAGAGAAGTAGAAGAAAAATTGAGAGTGATGAAAGAAAATCATGAAAAACAAGTCAACAGCTTGCTAAAGGAGACCCAAAAAAATACTGAAGAAAATAACACCTTAAAAAATAGCCTAACCCAAATGGCAAAAGAGGTCCAAAGAGCCAATGAGGAGAATCCTTAAAAAAAGCAGAATGGCCAAATGGAAAAGGAAGTCCAAAAGCTAAAAATTAGAATGGAGCAACTGGAAGCTAATGACTTTGAGAAATCAAGACACCGTAAAACAAATCCAAAAGAATGAAAAAAATAGAAAACAATGTAAAATATCACATTGGAAAAACAACTGACCTAGAAAATAGGTTCGAGAGAGAATTTCAAAATTATTGGACTATCTGAAAGCCATGATCAAAAAAAGAGCCTAGACATCATCTTTCAAGAAATTACCAAGGAAAGCTGACCTGATATTTTAGAACCAAAGGGCAAAATAGAAATTGAAAGAATCTACTGATCACCTCCTGAAAGAGATCCCCAAAAGAAAACTCCTAGGAATACTGTAGCCAAATTCCAGAGTTCCCAGGTCAAGGAGAAAATATTGTAAGCAGCCAGAAAGAAACCATTCAAGTACTGTGGAAACACAATCAGGATAACACAAGATTTAGCAGCTTCTACATTAAAGGACCACAGGGCATGGAATATAATATTCCAGAGGGCAAAGGAGATAGGATTACAACCAAGAATCACCTAACCAGCAAAACTGAGTATAATCCTTCAGGGGGAAAAATGGTCATTCAGTGAAATAGGGGACTTTCATGCATTCCTGAGGAAAAGACCAGAGCTAAATATAAAATCTGACTTTCAAATACAAGACTCAAGTGAAACATGAAGAGATAAAGAGGAAAGAGAAATCATAAGGGACTTATTAAGGTTGAACTGTTTACATTCCTGCAGGGAAAGATGATATTTGTAACTCATGGGACCCTTTGTCAGTATTAGGGTAGTTGAAGTGAAATATGTATACATACACCCAGATGGATAGATAGAGGGCACAGGATGAATTGAAGATGAAGGGGTGCTATCTGGAGAATAAAATTAAGGAGCAAGAGAGGATTACACTGGAAAGAGAAAGGGACAGGTAGAATGGGGTAAATTATCTCACATGAAACAGACAAGAAAAGGCTCTTAAAGTGGAGAGGAAGAGGGGAAGGTGAGAGGGAATGAGTGAATCTTATTCTCATAGGATTTGGCTTAAGGAGAGAATAACATAGATTTTCATAGAAAATCTATCTTACCCTACAGGAAAATAAGAAGGGAAGGGGACAAGAGTGCAGGGGGATGATACAGGGGAGGGCAGATTCGGGGAGGGGGTAATCAGAAGTAAACACTTCTGAGGAGAGACAGGGTCTAAAGAGAGAACAGACTAAATGGGAGGTAGGATAGGATGAAGGGAAATATATTTAGTTTTTCACAACATGACTACTATGGAAGTGTTTTGCATGACTAAACATGTATAACCTGTATTGAGTTGCTTGCCTTTTCAATAAGGGTGGGTAGGGAGAGTGGGAAGAAGGGAGAAAACTTAGAACCCAAAGTTTTAAAAATACATGTAAAAAAATTGTTTTCACATGGAATTGGGAAATAAGAAATACAGGAAATAGGGTATAGAAATCTATCCTGCCCTACAGGAGAACAGAAGGAGAAGGGGATAAGAGAAGCAGAGGAGATGGAAGGGGGGCAGATTAGGGGAAGGGGTATACAGAAAGCATACCATCTTGGGGTGGGGGGAGGGATGAGATGGGGAGAAAATTTGGAACTAAAAATCTTGTGGAAGTAAATGTTGAAAACTAAAGATAAGTAAATTAAAAATAAATAAAAGAAAAAAAATAACTTGGAAAGCTGCAAGATATCTCATAACACCCTCTAATTTCCAACTTGGTCACAGTACCACTGGCACTTGACCTACCATGTGTCACCCCACTCACTCATTTCTCCTCTTCCTCCTCCTTCACCCTTTCCCCAACCCACGCTCTTTCCAAGTCTCCGGCTACACTGACCCTCATGACCAGAAGGACCATTCAGCTCCCACCTAAAAACAATACCAAGGAAATTTTTGCTTCTCTTCCCCTCACTCCTCCACTTCTCATAAAAAGGAGGGAGAATATTCAAGGTGAAATGCAGGTTGAAGGCAAATAGTAAGTAACCTAGCTAGTCAGACTGGCTAGAATCAAATAGATGTAAGGAGGCAGAAGATTTAGCTCAGAAACTGGTACAGGGGCTTTGGAAGAAAGGGTTAATTCAATTAGAGAAAGAGAATAGAGGCATTCCCAAGCCTTCTGCTTGGACTCTGAGAATAACAAGAGATAAAAACACTGTCATGTGCCTTTCATCCTGAGAATGACAAGGGACCCATCCTATAGCTATCTTACCCTCCCCAACCCTCACAAAGGGACATGGGATACTAAGGCACCAAGAACAAAAAGGGATGGATACTTTGGGAAATGGGCCCAGAAAATCTTGCCCTCCCCACCCACAAAAGAAAAAAACAGATAAACATTAGAAAGGTCCTCTGTCAGAGGAAGGTGGAGATCAGGAGTAGCGGAGGAAAAAAAGGAGAGAGGGGAGGCAAGCAAGGGACTTGCCCACATGGTTGCCTCACAGCTTTTTTTGCCCTTGCCATTAGAGAAGTCCCAGCGTGGTCTGTTTCCGCTCCTCCCTTGTTAACTCACTCAAACACACTCTGAACAGAAACAAAAGGGGGAAAAGAGGAAAAAACAGGAAAGAGAACATCTCTATCTACAGATGTATTTCTGAGCCAGCACTAGCTCCCTCTGAATGTTTTCTGCTTGTAGGTCTTTGCTGATTGTTTTCTCAAAACTTTGATTCTCTCTTATTTCTGTCATTTGTTTTCTTGCTTTCAGAATGTTCATTACTTGCTCTGCCTTTTGCCAATTCTCCCCACCCCACCTCCCCCCCCAGAATATCACAACTCCTCAAGACTATGCAGAGTTCAGATAGTGATCTCAAAGCAGCAGACACTTCCCCAACCCCAGTTAAGTAACTTCCTTTCTCAGAAGACCTTACTGATCTTTGCACTGAGGACTCAGATGCTGGACACATTTCTTTTAGGAAAAAAAAAAGTACATATCAAAAAAGAAAAAGAAAATCAACCCAGTGATCTCACAGGTGCAAAACTGAAACTGTCACTGGACATTTTCAGAACTACTATGGCTCAGTCATTTTCTACCACAATGGGGGGAAAAAAACCAGATGTAATTTCTTTTGCCCCTTTGGGGGCTCTCAATAGATTTACTGTTCCTTCTTCTCAATGTTTTTTTTTTTACTGGTTTCTTGCTCATTTTCTTGGACCAAGAACTCCTCTGGGAACCATCTTAGCTCCCCACTTTCTACTTCTCCCTTTGTGGGCTCCACCATGATGGAAGGCTGGCAGTCCTTTTGTTTGCAGTAGTATGCCATCCTTCCAGGTATTCAGCCCAATCTCATCCATAGATGGGGTGCTCATCATCACCTTGGTCATGTCAGCTGATCTCAGACTATCAGGGCAGTAAATGGGGAAATATACAGACATGAAATCCTAAGGCACCTATGCCCTTGGATATTTTAAAAAAAAACAGTCCCTGCACCAGAGGAAAGAGGACACTTCAGTGATCCAGCATCCAGTAGTTTTCTTGAAGTTTTAGGGGCAACAGAGGGATTCACTGGATCCCACTGCTCTCAATCACCACCTGGAGGAAAGGCTCGCAAGCAGACATGCTGATTCCCTTCCCAATGAGCTCTCCCCAGTATGGTTTCATTATTGACATTAAAGAAAATGCATTACTATCTATTTTGCCACTGCACCCTAAGGACCACTAGGCCTTTCCATCTGACTTACAGCTGAAACCTATGTGTTATTTCCCCTTATTAAAATGTGAGCTGCTTGAGACCAGTGATTCTTATATGGTGCTTCTCACATAAGTAAGTGATTAATAAATCCTTTTTCACTCATTCACTTACTTTTGTTGATAATATAAGTTTAGAGTACTTTTTTTTTTTGGTTAGGTAATGGGCAAGTGACTTGCCCAGGATCACACAGCAAAGAAGTGTTATGTGTCTGAGGCCAGATTCGAACTCAGGTCCTCCTGAATGCAGGGCCGGTGCTCTATCCACCGTGCCACCTAGCTGCCCCCATAGAGTACTTTTTAAATAAATTCCAAGTTTAGTTTCTTAATACTAATGCACAGTCAATAAAATTCTAACTGCAAAGTAACAAAACCATAAAATTGTACTTAAGTAAATCACTGCTTAAGTCTCAATTGCTAAAACTTCTGGAAAACGAAAGAGAATGTTTCATATCTAAAGCAGGAAATGTTACCTATTCAGTGTCCTAGCAAGATATTTTGTTCCATTTCTATTGGCTAATGATGGATATTTCTTTTGAAGAAAAGCATATTCATCACGGATAGAATCAGATACACTCTTCTTATTGTTAATATCCAGCTGGCTCCTAGGGGTTGAAAGCAACAAAATTATTAGAAGAAAGTGCTGTCAAACTAAATTAGTCTTTTACCTACCTTAATTGAATATATGAGCGAATCATTCTCCCCTGTTCTTACCAACTTTATTTCCCCCACTCCTGGCCACAACATGTGCTATATACACATGTCTTCTCCATGAACCTGTTTGTTGAAAACTACTCTTATAATAAAACACCAATTACCCACAAAGTACAATATGCAACTCTAACGTACATCTACCTTATGTCAGCTGACTGAAAAAAAAAAGAGGACTGGTAGACAGATGGGGCTGGTGTGATACAGAATAGAGACTGGGAAGGGAAAGGGGAGAGGAAGGAGGACGAGGCAAGGAGAAGAGAAAAGTTAAGGAGAATTATAGGTTGCTGAGGTTTGAAAGGGCCTTAAAGGACATCTAGTCCAACCCTCTCATGTTACCTATGAAACAAAATGAGGCCTAGAGGTTAAATAACTGGCCCAGTATCACACAGGTGATGAATAACAGAGATACACCTAAAATCCAGCTCTCTTCATTCCCACTTTAATATTATTTGTTCTATTTAAAATTGCTCCATACATCTTTTCATTCCTACACTTATAATGGTTCCTTATGTTTTTATGTAGCCATTCTTTATTTAAAGCAAGAATAAAAAGCTTTAATGAAGTATCTCGGTTTACCCCCACATCCACTAAGACTCACTTCTTTATTAAGAACACAAGTATAATATATGAGAACGTATTTTTTAAAATGTATGTCAAATAGGTTTCAGAAACAAAGATTTTCATTGAAACCAAGATATTATAATTACAATCTCCTTCCCTACTAGCGTACCTGTTCACCACTCCAATTATGCCAAGTTTAACTGGAATGACCCTTCCCATCAACACATCCATTGCATCAGTACCAGCATCCATGAGATCTAGTTTAGTGATTACAGCAAGGGTTCTACGACCTAACAAATGCAAATAAGAAAATACCCATTAAAAAGAAACAAACCTAACAAATGCAAATAAGAAAATACCCATTAAAAGAAACAATCACTAAATGTTGACATATTCGTTCAAAACTCTCTTAAAAAAAAGATTCAAAAGTACATGCATTTCCATACACAATTCCAAAATGAGTTTCTTGTTAAAAAAAAAAGTTAGCCATGGAAAATACACATTCAATAATAATTCTTTCAAAACAAACATAATGCAATTACAACCCCCAAAGAATGAGTATCTTACACATGTGACAATTTTGTTTATATTCAATGAAGTTAAAGCTACAGGATTTTTTAAAATTACATTTAAGAATCAAAGTGCTATTTATTAAGTCCCTTTATTTCTAACAGGTAGGGAAAGTAGAAAAATCCACAAATAAAGATTCTGTATATACAAAGATTTTCATTTTCATCAAACTATATTCATATCTTCCCCCTTCAAATTTTTCTCTAAATTCTCTTCTCCTGTTATACCAGCTATTAAAAACCAACTAAAAAAAAGAAATAGCTTATTTTCTGATACTAGGATATTTATACCAGCATTTAAAATTACAAAAAAAGAAAACACATTTAAAAAAACAAATTTCCTATTGATATTCAAGGGGGGAAAATCTCTACTTAGGTACACTTAGGTGTACAAATATAGTAGGACTCCATATTAGCCTTAGCAAAAGAAGGTAAGCTATCAACTGCCTTACAGTCATTCTATATCATAGTAAGAGATACAACGCTACTGTGAAGACATAATATGATTGATAGCATTTAAAAAATCCATGACATATCAAGGCATTTGCAAACAGAATTTTAATGTATTTCAAAACACATGGAAGTCTAAATGTTCTCTCTGTGCATTCCTATAAGGTTTCTCAGATCAGTTCTCAGAGAATGCTAAGACATTTTCTCACTGATAATCCAAAGCAGAGGTTATCAAATTTTCCTCAAAGAAATAAATAGAAAAAAACCCCCAAAAGTAAAAAATCATATTCTGCATTAGCATTTTTCTTTAAAAATAACAAATAGAAAGCATTTTCATTTAAATACACTATTTAATTTATAATTAGTTTCACTAGCATTAAGCAAGAACACAAAACTACTTTTCTCCCTCCTTTTTATTTGAGGGTTTTTTGTTGTTGTTGTTGTTGTTTTTTTGGGGTGAGGTAACTGGGGTTAAGTGACTTGCCCAGAGTCACACAGCTAGTGAGTGTTATGTGTCTGAGGCCAGATTTGAACTCAGGTCATCCTGAATCCAGGGCTGGTGCTCTACCCACTGCACCACCTAGCTGCCCCTCTTCCTCCTTCTTAAAGACAGATTTACAGGTAGAATATGTCTATTCCCTTTTACTACCAACCAATTACAAACTTTTATTCCTTACCATCTGGATCTACCTCTCTTGAAATTTTAAGAGCCTCTGATGTTGCCATATCTGTATTAGCAGCAGTGACAGCCAGAATAATGGAATTAGGGTTACTAATGAAACGAAGGATGAGTTCTCTGATTTGAAGTTCAATATCCTTTGGTTGATCACCCACAGGTACCTAAAGAAAACAAAGATTGGAATAGAATTACAATAAAAATTTAAAAATAATTAAAATAAATTATACTTAAAATTTGCTAGTGTTTGGTTGAGGAAGAAACAAATGTAACAAAAATCAATATCATAAGCATTAAGACCAAATTCTAATAGTAAGAAATTCTAATAGAGTAGCCAATGCCATTCTTGGCCATATATAAAAAAATACAGCTGAAGGATGCAGAATGTGAACACTGTTCGTGGGGTTAATGAACAAGCCCGCTTATTTTTTTTGCAAGATAAAAATGCCAATTAATAAGTAACATCCTACCCACAATGAAGTAAGCAAAATTTTTCCTTACCTTTGTCATGCCTGGCAAATCCACAAGAGTCAGGTTTACAACATTAGGTGAAAAAATTTTTAGATGAATAGGTTCAGGACTCACCCCCTAGAAATAAGTTGTTTAAAATATTACCATTAATTAAAGTTATACAAAAATCTACCAAATTAACATACTGAGAATGATTTAAAACTAATTATTCCATTAATATGGACACTGTGAATTAAATCATGCTCCCTGAAGCATAAATACACATAGCAACAGCTGGATAAAATATAATAGCTTAAAGGTCCTGTTGTATAAAAATTGTGTAATAAAGGACTTACACAGCATTACCATGATTACTAATACTCCACTTTCTTCATCTCAATTTGAAAGTCTTTTCTGATTCTTCAAAGCTAGCTATCAACATACATAAATCAACACAAATTATTTGCTGCTGTAAAAAGATAGTGATTCCTCTCTGCCACAGATTTTGGTTGAGACCATGTCTTCCTTACTCCCTACCTCCTCTCCCCTACTCATCAAATGTTAGGGATTTGGGTCATCATGCATAAGGGAATAGAAAGCCTAAACTGCTCATTCTAGCCTTTGTACATGCTATTTTCATTACCCTGAAATGCCTTCCCTTCCCTATCTTTCTTAACCCATTTCAAAACTCTTGTCTGTGAAGCTTTTCTTGAACAACCTCCTCACTGAAGTTCCTACCTGTAAGATCCCTCCTACCTCTAAATCTATCATTCTATTTTAACTTGTATTTATAATTTGGAATTTTTTAAATGGTATAGAAGACAGCTAATGCAAAGGCATGGAAGCAAGAGCTGCAGTATTCTGTGTGAGTAACAGAGATAAAGTAGGCTTGGAGAGTCCAGGAGGGAGAATAATGTATAATCAAGCTGGAAAGATAAACTAAGATCAGGTTGTGAAGGGCTTTAAAAGCAAAACAGAAGACTTTATATTTGATTCTAAAGGCAAAAAGAAGTCACCAGAGTATATTGATGTGGGAAAATCATTCTGGCAGCAGTGTAGAGGAAAAACCAGAGTGAGAAGAAACTTGAGGCAGAAAGAATAATTAATAAATAGGCTGTTGCAAAATCCAAGTGAGAAGCGATGGCCTGAACTAAGTCATTGTATGAGGAGAAAGAAGGGTTTGGATATGAGAGATGCTCAGGAACTAGAAATAGCAAGAGTTGACAATTGGGTATATAAAGTAAGGGAAAGTAAGCAGTCAAGGATAACACCATGGTTAGGAACCTGAGAGAATGGAAGAATGGTGATGCCTTTGACAGCAATAGGGAATTTTGCAAGAGGTAAGTTTTAGGGGAAAGACAATGAATTCCATTTTAGACAAGTTGTATTTGAGATGTGTCCAGGGCATCTAGTTGTGGAAACCTAATCTGTTGTGAGAGTACTGAATACAGCAGCTAAAGCAAAGTGATATATGTATGGCAATATCAGAAATATATCATTTTAAAAACTAAAATTTTTGATGTGATATAAGCCCATAGAAAAAATATAACTGAAGATTTGTTTATGAATTTTTGTATATCTATCAAAGGTATAAGCACTTGAAGAAAATGGAATACATTCTCTATGTATGCATTGCAGCGGTTCAATAAATATTTGTTTTCATTACTTCTCTTGATAGTAACCAGCTCTAAAGAACATTTCAGCCTCAAAAATCCATACCTTATTATTTCCTGAAATCCTCTCTGTTTCATTTTCAATTTCTTGTCGAATTTCATCAAAATCAGTGTATAGCTAAAATAAAGTATTAAAATTAAAAACTTTAAATCTTTACACTTGGGTAAAAGACGAACCATGAACTGAGATCTTTGGCAAAATCCTGAGGTACAGAAACCTCAATTAATTTGGTGAACAAGATTATTTAAGAAATAATTGCCTCTTTTGCTTAATGGTTTTAAAAAAAGTTACTTCAAAATTATGTCAAATAACCAACAGTAGGAACTCAACTGGTCTCCTTTTTCATTATAAAAATAAAAATGTTTCAAGTATTATTAAAATACTAAAATTATTCCCTGAACATATTTGTGTAATTACCTTATTTTTGGTGTGCAGAAATTTACCCCACTCTTCAGCTTGAATACCTGAAAACAAATAACCAATACTTTAGACACTACTACAAACCTTCTTTAGGTTCAGTTAAACAGTTAAAAGAGTCAAATTCATATGTAGTTCTATCCATCTACATAAGTAAATATATATTAGAGCACTTAATAAAAAATTAAGTTTGTTCAAGGTTTAAGATAAATTAGCCTGTTGTTTTTTCCTATAATAAAAATGTTTTTGAGAACTGCTAAATAGGTTTTTTTAAAAAAATTATTGTTTTAGTCTGAATGTGATCTCATTGGTATAAGAAATTCCCAGTGAGAAAAATCCCAATGACAAAAATGCAGATTGTTCTACAACTTAAAAGTCTTGGAAAGCTGCCTAGTTTGAGAGGTTAAATGACTTTCCTATAACCACTATGTGACATCTCCCGAAGAACTGAGAATATAAACCAATATCTTCCTAATTATGAGGTCTGCACTCGATCTACCATGTCATACTATTCTGATAAAATAATGTCTTTTGAAAGTTGAAACACCTATCTTTTATTTCAATTACAAACTGTAGATAAAGAAGATTTCTTTTGAATTCTGCATTTGATTAACAAAATTACTTTCCTTTTTTTTAATAGACACTTTGACAGGAAAATATAAGTTAAAATCTTTAAATAGTATTTTCTCCTGTAAAAATATTTTAGTTAAAAGCTGAAAAAAGTAAAAATTCAACTAAGCAAAGGGCACATAAAACATATCTACACATACTTAGTAAAGGAAAACTTGAACAACTGAAGAGCATAGGTGTATATATTTTTCATTCATATATAAAACTCTGGTTTCTGTTAGCCACTTAAAAGTTCTGCTTCATTGTACCTATCTTTTTAAGTGAAGTCCTTGACATTCTGAAAGCTTCCCTAGTCTCCCTCCCACCCACCAATCTCCATGCCAATGTAAAATCATATACAAAACAAATTTTCTCCATTTTAAATACATCTGATAGAAAGCCAGGGTTGTAGGTACATAGAGATTGAGGGTAGGGTAGAAATTAAGTAGAAGCAGAAAACAAGACCCAGGAATGGGCAGTTGGTCCACTTTACAGATTCGAGATTATGTTACATAGTATATAGAAAAAAGAACTGTTGTTTCTGGAAATTCTTCCTATCTCATCTCCTGAATTCAGAGACTCTGTTTTTCCTTCATTTTCCAAAAAACACTAGGCTACACCTTGGAGGTGATACTCTGGAAAGTGACACTGCTGAACTTCTCAAAGAGTTGGATATGATAAATGGTCCTAATTTTTCCAACTTAAGATTGCTTTAAAATGCTAAGTGTTAATGCAAACACACAAACAGAATCTAATATCAAGCATCAACTTGATAGTTCTTTTATAGTATACCTAAAACCAAAAAACAATTTCATCACAGTAATAGTCACACAAAATACTAAAGCTAATTAAGATTTCCTTTGGTAGGAAAAGCAAAGAATAGTGGGGAAAAACATGCTCCTCTCTCATAAGTGAAGTGTTTTAACTATTTGAAGCACAAAAGGATAGTCCCTTTCCTATAAAGTCACACTGGAGAACCTCAAATAGGTGGGTACTTCCATCTCAGAAAAAAATATATTAATTTACTGTATAACAACAAAGCCCTAGGTTTATTTTTAAATACATTAAACATCACATTCACCATAAAAAATTCTTAGAGGCCGATGAAAAGCCCAAAAGGTTATAAGAACCACTAAAACCTAAAACTGATATAGAGAGGAAAAAAATGACTAAGAATGCATACAGTTTGTAAGAATATTCAAGCACACATGCAGGTTTATAATAGAAAAAGAAGGGACAAAAGCAAGTGGATAAAAGAAACCTTTAGAAAGGTGTCTTGGATTTTTCCATGTTGCAGGGTCTGTAGTTAAAAAGAAATAGCACAGAATGATAAGTTTAGCACTTATTGTTGAAATTTTATATCATTTTATCAGATGCAAAAAGCATAACACATTTGAAATGTGCATACCGTTCAAATATTTAGAAGCACACTCGAGTAGGATGTTTTAACAGAGAAAAAAACTAGACATGTGTCTATATATATAATACATATATATACATATATATACACATACATAACACATTCATATATACAAGACACTGCCATCTCTCAGCTCTAGGCATTTTCTCTGGCTGTATCCCACGGGTGAAATGCTCTCCCTCCTCATCTCTTCCTTCCTTTAAGTTTCAACTAAACTTTCTTCTTCTCTAGGAAGCCTTTCTCAACACCTTTTAATTCGAATACCTTCTCTCTCTTAATTATTTCCTATTTATCTTGTATATAGCTTATTTGTTCCTATTTGTTTGTTGTCTCTCACTTCCCTTTGTGAGCTCCTTGAGGCCAGTGGCTGTCTTTTGACTTTTTATATTTTTAGTGCTTAGGACACATAGTAGGCAGATAATAAATGTTTACTGACAACTTGTATGTACTTGTGTATACCATTAGACTATTAACTCCTTGAGAACAGACATCGTTTCATACTTTTATCTCCAGTGTTTGACACATATGCAATTAATAAATGCTTGCTGATTGACAATGACCAAGCATTTTCTTATGTTATATAACTTAGTCAATTTTTAAATTTACTAGACAGAATTATAGAATTTTAGAGGTGGATAACACTGCTTTAACTTCCTCCTTTCATTGAGTATGTAAGTAAATTTAAGTGATTTGTCTAAATATTACATTATTTAGATAACAGTAGATAGGCTTTAGAATCCAAGATATCTGGTAATCAGGTCAGTGGCCATTAGACTATTTCATGCAAGGTTAACTATCATAATTAAAAAAACATTAAAATAATATATTATTTTTATATATAATTATGTATCATAAATAAAACATTTAAACAATAAAAACATCAAAATTCACTTCCTAAAATGAATCATAGCATGTTGATTTAAATTTAGGTTCTAGGTATGCTGTAATTTATACCATAAATTTCCTATCAGAGCCTTGATATCCTAGTTGGGATGTATTTGGGGATGCAGGGGAAATATATAAAAGAGAATTTCCAGAATTTAAAGAACCTACAAAAGATATTAAACTTTTAAAAATTTTATTTATTAGGCTTATTTTCTAATATTTTAATGACTTTCTTCACCAACAACTCTCTATCATAATAAAGAAATACATGTAGTCAGGCAAAACCAACTAATAGTGCAACTCTTTTGGAATACATTTGCCACATTCTATCCTTAGTTATTCTGAGTTCAGTTGCCTTTTTGTGTTGTTTTGATCTTGTATCATTTTTTAGTCATTATGTATATTGTCCTCCCAGTTCTATTACTTAGATCTATACCAGTTACTCAAGTATTTCCATATTTCTCTAAATTCCTCCTATTTTATCATTCCTTATGACATAATAATATTATATTATGTTCATATGGCACAATTTGTTCAATATTCTCTGACAGACACTGACTTTATTTCTGCTTCAAGAATATTTTGGTATACATGAGACCTTTTGTTTTTTCTTGATTTCTTTTGTGTATATATACCTAGGAGTGTGACTGCTGAATCAAAGGATAGTATTTGTTGCATAATTACAAATTATTTTCCAGAATAGTTGAACCAATTCATAGCTCCACCTACAGTGTATTATAGAGAAATGATTCTTGGTTTGTGTCAATTCTCTATATGTCTTGGAAATCAGATCTGATTAATACATTTTCCCCTATTCCACAACTTCTCTTCTTCTAACTACACTGATTTCATCTATGCTATTGCTTTCAAATGTTATGTAATTAAAATTGCCTAATTTATCTTTTATGATGTTTATCTCATTAGGTTTCATTGGGTTAAGAATTTTCCTCCTCGCCTGTGAAAGGTGAAAGTTTTCTTCCATTCTCCGAAATTTTTTTTTGATGTGACTATATTTAAGTAAAGTATATACTTGGCAAATAATGTTTTCTACATTGAAAAATGGTAGTCTGAACCTACTTTCTGCCAAGCTGCTTTCCAATTTTCCTAGCAGTTAATGGATTCCTAATGGATTTCCCAGCAGTAATTGATTCCTTTCCTTGGAAGCTTATATTCTTGAATTTATTGACATGGGCTACTATACTCATTTGTGTGCTTCTTCTATTCCACTAATCTCCTCTTCTCTTCTTTTGGTTAAATAATTGGTTTGTTCATATCATTTAAATAAGTGCTGCTTAAAAGTACAATTTGAAATTGGGTAATTATAGGCTGTCTTTATTCTTATTTTTTTCATTATTTCTCTTGAGATTCTTGACTTTTTTTCTTTCCAGATTAATTTTGTTATTTTGTCTTATTCTACATAAAATAATCCTAAAATAGTACGGTTTTTATACCATTAAATCTGAAAATAAATTTAGACTCTATTGTCATTTTTATATTTATAAAGCCTAGCCTTGTACAATGAAACTCTCCAATTATATGTGCTCTCCAAGCATAGTGAAGAGTGCTTTGTAATTATATTTATACAAATCATAAGTGTGTCTAGGTATGTTAACTCCCAAGTATTTTATGCAATTGTTAATTATTTTGAGTGAAATTTCTCTATCTTTTTCCTCCTGGGTTTAATTAGTTATAACAAAAATGCTCCTGATTTGTGAGTTTTTGTATACTACTACTATTCTAAAGTTATTTCAATTAATTTTTTCATTGAATCATTATGGTTGTTCTTGAGGAAACTTTCATATTGTCCTTCAGTTTTCCTCATCACTGTCATCTGCGCTGAGCATTGGGCTGGTAAGGCTGTAGGTGGGGCTTGCTGGGGAGAAGACAGGTGAGGTGGGAGAGTAGATGCTGGGAAAGGTGAATAAGTTGAGCTGGTAGGTGAATACTTGGGGGAGGTACAGGGGAATAAGTATGGCAGGCAGGTAAGTTGGAGTATAGGCTACTGAGGTTAGCAAGTAGGTAGGAGAGGTAGATGAATATTTCAGGGTGGAGTTGGTAAGTAGAGCTGATAGGCCCCACTTCTGCAGGAGGGTGAATACTTGGAAAAAGTACACTCCAATGAGCTAGGACTATCAGAAGGACTGGCTGAGGTATACTAAGGTGAGACAGGAGAGCTAGAACTATAGCTGCAGGGAACTGGAAGCATTCGTTAGAAACTGTGGTAAATAGCAGGAAATGGAGGGAAAATAGCTAGGAGAGATGGAGGAGAAGAGGGGAGGATACATAGATAGAAGAGGTGAGTGATATTGGAATATAGATAGGCCTGGCAGGCAAGTAGTTAAGGGAGATAGGAAGAGTAGCTGGGAGAGGTGGGTGAACAGAAAGTTTTGATTTCTCTTTGTCTATGCTTATTTCTAGGTAGCACTTCTAGCACTATGCTACTCTGTTTTATTCAAATTTTATTAGCAAAGCTTCTGCTGTTTCTCACCATCACAAATAATGGTAGCTGTTTATTATAGTTATTATATTTACTTCAAGGCATCTTAGTGTCAGGGTGATATATTTGTGTACGTGTGTGTGTGTGTGTGTGTGTGTGTGTGTGTGTGTGTGTATCAGTGAAGGCCCTCTATGAAGATATAACCATGAAATCTTAATTGTTTTTTAATATTCTTAACTATATTGATAGTTTTTCTAATGTTACACTTCTTACATCTGATGAATCTAATCTGGTCATAGTGAATAATATTTTAGTATGTTGCTGATTTGTTACTAATATTTCCATATCAATAATCATTAATGGTATTGCTTCATAATTTTCTTTCTTCTGCTTTCTCTCTCCTTGATTTGTGATTGAGGACCATACTGATCTCATAGATGAAATTTGATAAAATGCCTTCTGTCTCCATTTCTGCAAAAAGTCTGTGTAGCACAACAGTTCACTGTTCTTTTAAATGTTTGATTATCACACCCTGAAAACTGCCAAACGTGATAAAATATGTAGGAATTATGGAGATACACATTAATAAACTGTTGGCCATGCTGTAAATTGGTCCAACCACTCTGAAAAGCAATTTAGAATTATATTAAGAGAGCAACTAAAATATTCATACCCTTTGACAACAACGATTTCATTGCTAAACACATACTTAGCATGAAAGAGGACAATGACAAGAAGAAAGTTTCATATTCAACAAAATATTTATGAGCATTTTTTTTGGTAGTAGCAACAAAGTAGAAGCAAAGTAGATACCCATCATTTTGGGAAGAAAAGTGTTGTATGTGCATTTAGTAAAATATTACTACTCTACAAGAAACAATGAATATGCTGAGTATGATAAGTAACTATAAAAACTAATGAAAGTGAAGTAAGCAGAACGAGAACACTATATGCAATGACTACAATGATGGAAATAATAACAAAATAATAAAAATAGATTGCAGTGGAATTATGGATATGCTTGGCCCCATACTAATACCTATAAAGTTTTTCCTTTTATGTGAACTTTTAAGAAACAATTTTTTTTCTTACATAAAATTTAGCATTTGGTGAAACTGCATTTTTTTTTCTTTTAGCCAGCATCCCTCTCCTTTTTTTCTTTTAAGGGAGAAATTTGGTAAAAGACACAAAAATTTCCCTCTCACCAATAAATATTGTGCTGAAACATAAATCTCAATCATATTTAAATTTTTTTTTAAAAAGAAGGCTCTTTTTTTAACTTCTTGGGACAGGGTTGAAAAGAATTAAATAGCATAATAAACCTATACTGGCACCAATTCAAAGGTGTCAAACTTTTGCCAAACTTGTCAAGAGAGGTCTAGAACCACCCCCCAGAATCACTTCCCCATCCACTCCAACATGTACACATGCGTGCGTGCGTACACACACACACAGAATCACAATCTCAGAACTGGAAATAATCTCAGAGGCCACCTACTCCAAGTTGTATATAACTGAACAGGAATGCCCTCTATAATTCCATTTTAGGAAGTTTTTC